ACACACACACACACACACACACCACACAAGCACCCACTGAAGTATAAATAAAGACCGGGGCAGTCTCTCATTTGTGAATCTTGGAGCCTCACTCTGTGTGTGTGTGTGAGCTCTGGAGGCTGCCCTTGCTAGCAAGAAAATCTGTGTGTTTCTCCTCTCTGATTCTCTGCTGAAGAAGTGTTTCAGAATACATCTCTTAACAAAGGGTTTTGTGTTTTTTTTACTTTGGTAATTTGCAATAATCATGGAGGTCTTAACTCCTTAAACTGCTTCATTCATTATTCATGGCAGCTCCTAAATCCCAAAGTGAATATTGTTGTTGTCTAGCTGTACAGCTCAAGTTTCTTGCAGCGTGCCTCAGGTTTCTGCCCCGCAAAATGTCCTTTGCTTCAGTGCTTTTGCCGTAACAAGCACTCCAGAGTGTGCTGCAGCAAGACACCCACCTCTGGTCAGTCCTAAAACAAAACAAAAAAACAGTAACACATAATGAGGAGCCTGATGTGGAAAATACAGCAGGACTATAAATCGTAATACATAAAAGACGTTTTAAAGCTTACTTACATAATCAACCACAAACCACTGACAGGTGAAGTGAATTACTTCTGATCAGCGTGATTAATACGGCATCCTGCTGGGACACCATGTCCTGGTATTTGACACCTGTTCAGATCATTATTTAAAAGTATCACTGGCTGAACTTAAGTCTAAGAAGCACAGCAGGGAATCTGAAAAAGCCTGACTTGCCCTAACAATCCTGTTGTTTAACTCTGTTTGTTTCTTTTCATGGTGCTCTCAACAATCAGATGATGGTCTATTTCTTCCAGGTATTCAGTACACAACCTGAATTAGCTTTCTCTTGTTTGTTATCCTGTGAGAACTGTTCCCAGTTTGCTTCTTTAGGAGCTTTGTTGGCTTTGGTGTTTGTTGTTTTTGTCGTGGGGGAGTAATTAAACTTCATTCCGTAGAGCTCTGCATCCCTGATGTCTTCTTGTTTTGTCTCCAGACACTCGAGTCAAACCTGCTTGTTAAAACTCCCATCTCTATTCCCACTCTTGCCATTGGCAGGTTTTAGACTGACTGTTGGAGCTCTGTGGAAACATGTAAGGATTGATTATAGCTGCACTTGGCAAGGGAACACCTGTGTTGTCAAAGTAAATAGAGGTTTCAACAGAGATGTAGAATTCCCATTAATTGAGTCGCAGTGAATGTTCATTGTTTGCATAAATTAAATGCTGACGTTGGGTCTGCCACGTTGTGTCTTTACAAGAAGCGATGACTGAAATCTTCAGTCTTTTCTCGACAGCAGCAACAGCAATGAAGACACATTGCCTCAAACAAAAGTTGAGCTCATTATTTTCAGACTTTTGTTGTTGTTTTTTAAGATTATAAACTAGAAATGGGTTATTTTAAGCATAAGGAATTGTTTCACTGCTACAGCTAAGAAACTGCATGATCTTAATGATTACAAGATTATTATCAATTTATTGACAGTGCTTCGCCAGAGAGCAGAATAACTTAATATGATGTCTAATTAAACCATTTCCTATGAAACAATAACATTTTTATACTACCCCTTTGCCTCACATGCTATCCATTCTCCTTTGTCAAGCCTCCACTCAGGTGGTTTTCTCCTTTGATGTTGGTAACGGCCCGTTGGAGGTTCGTGTCGAGTCGAGCTTCCCACTGAATGACAACCGGTGGCATCGAGTCCGAGCCGAGCGGAACGTCAAGGAAGCGTCGCTTCGACTGGATGAACTTCCTGTCGCCACACAGGAGGCGCCAGCTGACGGACACTTCCACCTGCAGCTCAACAGCCAGCTGTTCATAGGTGAGTAGCGATCCAATATTCAGATCCTCAAGAAGTAAGAATATTTCATGTAACTTGTAGATTTATGTCTGAAGTATAAACATGACTCTTTCTTTGTGTAAATTTTCACCTCATTAGTCTCAGTTCTGGATGATTCAAGGCCATTTATTTCAGGATCTCAGTAACTGTCAGCTTCATAATTATAGAAATTTTAGTCAAATTAGTCTTTTTTGTGCCTTTCAGGGGTTAAAGAAAAAGGTTCCCATTAGACAGGATTCTATGAAACATTGACAAGTTCAGTGCTTGTTTATTGAGGCTTTTGGAACTGAACAGTTAATAAATTCAGGAGCCGTCTGGATTCAGTCATTTGGGAGTTGACTGCTATCAGATGTCTCAGGTCATGCTTATTTACCACAGATGAGTCAATGAATAGAAAAGAAAAAGAAAATTAATTAAAGAGCACCCTAATTAAAAGGTAAAATCTGCTACGTTTGCAGTGATTTCTGTGATTTCTCACTCAAATGCACAGAAAACCCTGAATATGTTGAATGAAATTACAAAAAGTGTTACATTTTTGTGAAAACCTGAAGTCAGCATTGTTTCCTTTATACTTCACTGCCATAGCACATTACTGCAAAAGTCTTTATTAAATATGCATAATGCTTGGGCTGGATCTATCCTTAAAAAAAGCTCCATATTGCTACTGATCAGAAACTGGGAGAAGGATAAACAAAAAAAAGGGAGCAGAGCAACCAATATTAAACAAAATCAATATGCCGGACAGTAAGCTTTAAATATTATTTGTCTACTGTGGGAAGGAAATTGTTCAGCAACACCAACAAAAATATGAGTATGAAAGAGAAGTCATGTGTCTTAATAGAAGTCGGGAAACATGAGTAGTGTTAGATTTGACACTGATAATCTTGCTGGAAAGATTGGAGTCATACTGCTGTATTGTCTCAGAATAAAAAATAAACAAAAACAACATTTCCTCAGCAATCAATCCAGGTGCTTATTTTCAGCATCTGCAGACACAATGCATGAGTCTGATTTGTGTGTAGATGTTATAGATGGTATAAAGGAGTTTTCTTAAAGTGGTTTTATGTAGGATGTCAAACATTGTGCAGCAGTAACTTAATCTGCTGCTGCTGCTGAACCCTGTGTTTGTTCAGCTGTATTGGATATAAAAGGTGCAGCATCTGCACATTTATTCTTTGGGTCTTCTACTACATCGTCACTCACAGAGCTACAGCATAAACCACTGACATCTAAAAGACAATACAATTAGGAGGTCCTGTCTCCTGAAACGTGCTGGAAAAGGAAGAGAAATATCCTATAGCTATGCAAGTGCTAAACTGTTATTGACTAAATGCCAGCTCTACCGAGTATCAGTCTGCTGAGGCGATGGTTTTGACCACTGAATACGCATTCCTCAGGGAGCAGTGGCATGATAAAGAGTGTGGTGCACAAATTCTTAATAAACAAATGAATCTGAAGTTATTTGTGAGAAGTTTGTGCAAATCAACAACCAGCTCACTAAAATTCTTTAACTTCAAACTCGTTATCTCAACTTCATCCCTTCGTTCCATTGAAATTATTTGTTTGACCTCAGAGTCTGTTTGTAGCTCTGCAGGGACAAAAAAATCCAACAAAAAACTGAAAATCCATTGTGTATTATCGGGTTTTATCATTGTGTAAATATTATGCATGTCACTTCATATCAGTAAACGCGCACTGGAAGGAAAACAAACTACCAAACACTGATGAGATTGGATGAAGGCGGCAGCTGCAGCAGCAGGGAGATTGAGGTGAATATTGATTTGCTCAGTGTGCTTAGCCGATAATCCACTCTGAATAGCCAGCAGGTCGCCACTGGCAGCCTAAAGCCGTGTATGTTTACCTCCAAATTATCAGGAAAGTACACTGCGCTAAGTATGAAGGAGTGTTTGAATGAAAACGTGTTGGTGTCATTTCACAAGGTGACTTTATTTATTTATTTATTTTTTAGATTTGATGAACAGGCATGAGGAATTTCCACCCGTATTCTTCAAAATCTATAAACGACTGTATAATAACTATTCGTATCAGCTCAGAAATTATGTAAGCATTAGCCACAACAATGCTGTACTCACTTTTTAATAAATCATAATCCTGCCAGGTCCCTATAGTTTGGATTTATAATGCTTTTGTGCCTTTTGAATAAATCAAGTCTCACCAGGTGCACCGCACAGATGTATTAGCCCATCTACTTAGCTATGATTTAATAAGACACAGAGTTGTCTCCTTTAAATTCATAACCCATA